TTCGCGGGCTCGAAATTCATTTTGCGGGCTAGAAAAAATTCGCAAGATAGAACTCATGGACAGAGATAAAATTTCGAGGGCTCGAAAATGAGTTCACAGGCTTCATATTTTCGCAGGATATAAATTAAGGGAGTCAAAAATTGGTCAAACCCTAAGGGAGGAAATTTCCCTCAGCTCACGGTTTCTCTCTCCTCTATGGCAAACCCGCAGCTCAACTTTTTTCTCCCAAATCGACGCCACCATCTTCTCTCCCTCACCTCCGATTTGCCACCTTTCTCTGCCCCGACCGCCGGCAACCAAACCCAGCAGCCGTCGCCTGACCACGGCGACTCGGAAATCACGCTGTCCGCTCCGACGAGCTCCTCTCTGCACCTCCGATCTCGACCCTGTTCACGAGCCGCGAACCCTTGACAGCACGACTTGCAGCTCCGGCGAGCTCCCCTGCTGCACATCCGGCGACACTAGCTGCGACCTCCGACCGCCGTTCACAGCCCCGACGGCGACCCAACCTCTGACCGCCCTCAACCCGAACCTCCGTGCACAGCGACCAAGAGGCCCGACCACCATACGGCGATTTTGAGCTCCGCCCGGCGACCACCTCGAGCCTCGACGGAGATTCTGACTTCCAGCGACTTAGCACAGCTCCGCCAGCTTCGAGTTTTCATTATCCGGCGTGTCTCATCCGCAATTCCGACAACATCAAGCCTCCAACCACCGCAGGCCGATTCCGACGACAAGCTTCAAACTAGACGAGCTGCTACACATCCAGCGACCCTAGCTGCAACCTCTGACCGGCCCATCAGCTCCGAATTGCGGTGAGCTCGATCTGCAATCGTGAGCCGTTACTTCTGACCTTATCCTTGAATTCCGACCACTCCTTGGCTTCTCATTTCCCCGGTGACCGAGCCGCCTATTTTTCCCATGATTTAGCTCGTTCTTCGGTACACGGTTTGATTCTTTTGGAGACCAAGCAACAAACTTTTCGGGCAATTACAATCGGCAAGGTATAATAGCTATAAACCGACTTGTTCGTTTCAATCGAAAATGAGTTGTGTTGGGAAATTGTGTTGATTGCCTCGGTGGAGTTCTTTAGAGATTGAGAACTTAGTGTTGATTAATTGAAAAATGTGGTGTTGATTTGGAGGTTGGGATTGTTGCTCTTGGCTATACTTGATGAATTTTTTTTTTTGGGATCGTTAATTGATTTGGGTGCTCGAGTATTGGGTTGGTTGATTGTTGATGGAGGATGAACGTTGTGTTACTTTTGGTTGGAAGACGTTGTGTTGCTCGATTGGGTGCTCGGATGTACCATCCACGCATTATTACTCTCGATGTGGTTTTGAAATCTTCTTATTTTATTGGGTGTTTTGTTGAGTTTGTGGTTGTACGTTGATTCGAGAGGGGTTCGAGGCCCGAAT